GGCGGTGTGACGGGTAGGTGGTGTGCGGCGCTAAATTGAATCAAATTAAGAAAAACATTTCTTAAATGCAAGTAAAATATATGTTTAATTAGATCATAAAACTGGAAATTAAAAGTAATATTTTGCAGCCGGGTAATTACTGTCTTTCCGAAGGTGCTGGGCTCTAACGGTGGCGTGGTGGCCCAGACTCCTGAAACCGGGCCCTCGGAGCTCCCGGGAGCCGCCCCTGGCTGGGAGGGGAGACCTGGTCCGGCACTGTGAGGACTGCTGGCCGTGCTGAGGGCAGCCCAGCGGCGGGCGTGGTACGGGTGGTGTGGGAGGTGCTGTCTGCCTCTTACCTTCCGAGGGCAGGGGGGCCCTCCTGGGAGTGGCTGTGGCCTGTCCTTGCAGAAGCAGCCCCTTACTGGAGTCTGAACACCGGGCCAGGGTGTTGGCGGCTGGGAGCCCCGCTCTGGGCCTGTGCCGCCCAAAGCTTACCGGTTCCCAGGTGGGGTCCTTCTGGTGTCAGGTGTATGGTTCCGAGTGACCCGGCCTGTGGTGAGTGTCCCTTTCCGAAGTGGCACATGGCCCTGCTGGCTCCGCCCAGTGCTGCCCGAGGCGCCTGCCCTGCGGGCAAGTCTCTCCTCTCTGGTGTTGGCTGGTGCCAATGTTTGAGGTGCTGTGTGACATGAGAAAGGTTGGAGAGGCGGCTCTGCCCCTCCCCTGGGGAGGGGTGTCAGCTGGGCCCTGTGCATGGTGACAGGGAGGGTCCCCCAAGAGGTGGGCTTGGCTGCTTGTGCTGGGTTGAGGCGTTTGGCCCCAAGGTGGGCTCTGGCTGGGGTGGAGGCTTGGGTATGTCTGCGTGGGTCCCCTGTGGGTTTGTGAAGCAGGACTTGGGCTTCTGGGTGGCTGCGGGGAGAAGGGCGGCACATAAGCCCTCCATCCCAGTGCCATGGGCGTGCTGAGCAGGTGCCAGGTAGCCCCGGGCTTGTCTCCCTGTGCCGGGCGTGGGATGAGGGGTGCTCCAGCTTAGTGGCTGCAGACCCTGTGGTTCCCACCTGGGCTTTGATGCTGACCCCCCTAGGCCCGGCCCAGCTGGGGCCTCCCTGACAGCTGCCGTCTGGAATCCTGGCGACTCCGCCCCTGGGGGCGGGGCGGGGCGGGGGTGCTGCCCGGCTTCCTGTTGCTCTCCCTGCATCCCCCTCCCCCGGGGCCTTGGCCTGGCTCTGGCCCCTCGGCACCCCCGCCCCCTGCTTCTGGCTTCCTTCCCTGCCCGCTCCTGTGCAGGCCAGGGAGGCGGTGCCAGGGGGACTCCCCCGGAGGCCTGAGCTCCCCAAGACAGGCAGAGGCCTGAGAACAATGGGCTGCTGGACGTGGGGGTGGTGGGCTGGGCCGCCTTTCAAGTAGGGCTAATGGCTGAGGCAGGCGCACTTCCTCCCCACGCCAGGGGCTGTGAGCAGCCTCCTGCTGAGTGGAAAATCCGGAGTGATCAGAGCCTGACCTGGAAAACAGGCCCGGGGGCCGGCAGAGCCTGCCTGTGGCTCTGGGACAGGGCAGCGCTCTGCCCGGGCCCGGGCCCGGGCCCGGCGTGCCAGCCTGTGGTGGGGCCCCTGCAGCGTTTTCTGGGCCTTTCCCCACTGTGCTGTGGGACTGGCCATCCCTGCGGGGAGTGGGACCCCTCCCCTCGCAGGATGCCCCTGAAGCCTGGTGCAGAGTGGAGCCTCGGAGGGGGCACCCCAGTAGGCAGGTAGGGCCTGACCTTCATCTGTGTGGTCCGCTGACCCTCCTGTCCTGCGGGGTCTTGTTTCCGGAAGGGGAGCAGGGGGCTGGGCAGGAAGGTGCCAGCAGTCAATCAACAGGCCTCTGAGCAAGTACTCACTAACGCCACCTCCCCACATAGCAAGGGAAGGAATAGCGGGCACGGGGTGTGAGTGACTTAGCAAGGCCACTCCCCTCCAGAGTTTATGTTCTTAAACAAAGTGCAGTGGGCCCTGGGAGAGAGGGCTCTGGAAAGGGGCGTCCAGGAGGGCCTCACGGACGAGGTGGCATGGGTGCAGGAGGGGTGGGGGCGTCCACTAACAGGGACCCACACAGTGGGCACTTCAAAGGCTGCAGAGCCCCTTGGTCCCCAACCCCAGATCCAGGCCTTCGGAGGGGCCCGTGAGTCGGGCAGCTGGTGCGGCCTGGCCTGGCTGGGGCAGCCTTCCGTTCGAGCTGGCCTGCCTGGGTGTGAGGAGAACCGCTGAGACGGGCTCACACTGCAGGGAGCACGGTGGGTACTAGGGACCCAGGAGCAGAGCCACCACCGGCTTATGCTGGGCCAGCAGAGTGGTGTCCCCTCACAGTAAGGCCACCCTGCCACAACTGTCACCCACTGGAGCCCTTCCAGTGGACACGGGTCAGGCTTGGGGAACCTGGGTGAATGAAGGGGATGCCCCCTTGCATGGTGGCCTCAGCCTCCTCACCTGAGAAGTGGGCGTGTCTGGTGAGGCCGTAATCCCTTCTGTGGCCAACAGGGCAGCTGGACTGGAGCCAGGCCTCGCCTGTGGCCACTGAGGAAGGAAGGCTGGCTCTGCGGGGTGGTGGCGCGGGGAGGGCTGGGTGGAACAGCTGCCGACGTGGAGACACAGGCCTGCTCTGCGCTTTGCTGTGTCGGGCCGGCACTGGGAAAGGCCTGGGTGGTTATGGCCACAGCTGGGCCGATGAGGGGTGGACCCAGCCAGGCACCTCGGAAGAGGCCACCCCAGGGAGGGGCCGGGGCAGAGCCTCAGGGTGGTCGCGGGACAGGGTGTGGGTCCTGGGAATGTGAGTTGTGGTGGCTTCGCTCTAAGGTTCCTTCTGGGGACTGGAACGCTCCACCTCCTCTCCCTTCCAGAAGTGTCACCACTTCCAGGAAGCCCTCCCTGACCTCCAGGCTAGGTGAGGGCCTCCTCTGGGCTCCCTTGGCTCCTGTACTTAGCGGTCAGACACTCAGAGAGACCCATGTGTCCCCCCAGTGCAGAGCAAGGGGGTGCTCAGCCCCAGGGGCAGCCACCAAGTAGCACAGACCCTTGGGGCCAAGTCCATGCTTGGGACCAAGCACGGTGGGCATCAAGCCTTGCTTCCTGCCTCCCTGCTGGCCTGCGCCAGTGCCTCTGTCTTCTGGTGGACATGGCTCAGGAGTTACCTGCAGTTTCCTCACATGGCGTGGCTTCTGGTGGCATGTTTGCTGCAGGACCGTACCGCGTCTCCCTTCTGATCCCGACCAGGGCTGGAGGCTTCACCGAGGCAGGGGGAGGGTCTCCAGCCCCCCAGGCCCTCCTTGACCACCGTTGATCCAGGGAGTCCCTGTGGCTCTCTGCAGTAGATGGTGCTTTCAGCTGGGGCGCTGGGGCACCACCGTGGAAAGGCCCTGGCCTGGGACGGGGGTGTCCTGGTCCTGCTGCCGGCCTCCTGAGCACATGGCTTGGGCTGCTGCCTGCAGCTTGGTTATTGGGGAGCATGCATCTGCTTTGTTGGCTGTGAGTGAGCACAGGGATGGCAGTGGGAGGAGGCGGGCAGTTGTTGAGGGCACCATGGGCCTCACTATTAAGCTCTGATAATTATTTTCCTGCTGGGTGCATGCAGACAAAACCATTTGGGGCTTATTAATCAGATACAGATTATGCAGTGGGCACAGCATGAGCTGGCTGGCGCCATAGAGGGTGAGGAACGGGTTGTAGGGCCTGGTGCCCGGGCACTGACCGTCCTTGTTCCCTGTCCCCCAGGACCCTTGCCTCTCTGCTCTGCTGCTCGACAAGCTGCCAGTGCCGGGGGCCCCGCCTGCATGCCACCTGGAGGCTGAGCGCCGCTGTGATGTCTGTACCACGCACCTGAACCAGCTCACGCGGGAGGCCCTGCGGCTGCTTCAGGCACCTGCCAGCTGTGAGGACCCCGATGCCCCTCATGGAGGCACTGGCCTCGTGCCCCCCAGCCCTGGCACCATGACCAGCCCGAGGGGTGTACCAGTCCCGGCAGGCCCAGCGGGGAGGCAGCCAGGCCGAGCAGGGCCGGACAGGAGGAAGGGGCTGGCCTGGCCACCCGGGCCCAGTGTCCAGGTGTCAGTGGCACCTGCTGGCCTGGGGGGGGCACTGAGCACAGTCACCATCCAGGCCCAGCAGTGCCTGGAGGGCATGTGGAGCGTCTCAAGGGTCAACCGCTTCCTGCCGCCCTCGTGCCTGGTGAGTGCCCTGGGTGCAGTGGGCTTCTGGCCTCCTGGGACCACCAGGCAGGGCTGATGGCAGCTGGGTCAGAACTGGGCTCACTTCTGGAGGTCCCACCCATGCCTCTCCAGGACCTATGGTGCCCAGGCTCCGTGGGTACTGTGCAGGGCACACCCCCTTAAAGCAGGGGGACCGTGGGTGTTGGGGAGGCCCCTGGCCCTTGCTGAGGTCTACATCAAGTCCACTGGTAGGCAGGGTATTCCCTGGAGCATTGCTCCCAGCACCACACCTGTGGTGGGGACCCACCTTGCTTCTGAGCCCACACATAGTGCAGTGAGCTGACGGAAGGGCCCTGTGGGCTCCTGGGACAAGAGCAGACCCTCACCCCATCAGGGCCCTGCCCCTCCAGCTTTCCTGCCCCAAGGGCCATGGCCTGGGCAGCACAGACCTGCCCCGTGGACAGCTGGCCCAGCCTGGAGCGTAAGGTGATGCCTGCAGGTGGGGAGGCCATTGGGACTTCCCACGTGGGTCTAGCTTCTCAGAAGCCACCTCTTTTCAGGTGACTGCAGAATGCTTCCCCGCCCTCCAAGGCTCCCCTCCTCAGGCCCACACTTACCCCCAGGAGTGGGCATGGCCTCCGTGGGACCTGCTCTGGGCACCAGTGGGTACTGTGCCTGCCCCATGGTCTGAGAGGAAGCCAGCTGTGGAAGGCAGAGCCGGGGCTGCTTCCCACTGTCCAGAGAGCTTTGCTGGTGGAATCTGCCCCAAGTGTCCTCTGTGTCCCTGGTTCTCCATCTAGCAGAGGGGTGCCAGGGCAGGGAGGGCAGGAGAGGGCAGATTGTCGGGCTGGGGTTTCCTGGGGCAGTGGAGGGAGATGGTTTGGGTGGGCTATGCTGGGGCTGTCTTGGGAAGCCTGTCCCCAGGAGGCACGCAGCTGCCCAATTCAGGGGATACCTGCTCCCGGGGGCATTGTACCCTCAGAGGTGCCTGTCTGCTTGGTTGAGCTCTTAGGCTGGGGGCCCAGCAGTGCCCAGCATAGGGGCTCACCAGGCAAACAAGGAAGGAGCCATGAAGCAGCGGGAACCCCGTGGAGGCCCGGAGGTGTGGTGAGCCCCCCGGAGGTGTGGTGACGCCCCTGGGATTGTGAAGCATGGAGACCTTACCAGGAGGCCTGGCTGGGGCTGGGGCTGGGGGGAGCCGAGGGCAGGGGCCTCGGCCGGGTGTGTCCTGATGGTGCTGCACACGTGTGTCTCTGCATGGAGAAGCCCCCTGCCCCACCACATGATCCAGCCCCGCCAGGGGCCCAGGGGCAGAGGTCAGTGGGCAGTGTGAAAACCTTTTCTTGGTGTGTTTTCCAGTCACTGCAGAGCTGGCTTAGTGGGCTTGCTCAGTCTCTGAAAGAGAGTGGTTGGCAGATGTCTTCCAGGGTCTCTGTGCCCCCAGGGGCTCTGGGGCTGGAGGCACAGGGAGGGCCCCCAGAAGCTTGGGCAAAGTCCCATCCCGCCCCGGGGCCAGCCGGCCCTGCTCTGCCCCCAGCTCTGGGCTTCGGGCCCCTCTGAGGTCAGTGAGATGGCGTTGGCCGGATGGGACCTTTGATGAGACCCTTCCTTTGCTGGGAGCTGGGCCGCTGTGACCCACTGCCGGGGCTGGTCCTTCCGAGGCCACCCTGTTCTTGGGGCTTGGAGATGGGGTGTACAGAGGGCTCCTAGGAGAAGCTTCTAGACCTGAACTAGGTACCCTGGGTGTGGCCTCCCTGCTTCCAGCTACTCCGTTTATTAAGGCCTGGGGTGAGGCCAAGACAATGGAGGCCGGCCTCTGCCATGCATCCCCTATAGCTCCTGGCCTGACAGCTGGGCTGCCCAGGAGGAGTGTTCTGGGGGCGCCACCACAATGGGAGGCTTCCTGGAGTTGGTGGCACTGACCTGGGCACAGAGGGGAGTGTCAGAGATGGTGGGCCCAGCACAGGGTGTGGGGGGACAACGAAGGGCTCCTTACCCGGGGGGAAAAAGCTTAGCCCTTCATCGACCAGGGCCTCGAACACCAGGCAGAGAGTGGCCTTAGCTCCAAGGGTGCCTGGGAGGCAGAAGGGGGACGTGGGCTGGCAGTGGGGGCCAGCAGGCTCGGTGTAGTGGTGCCGTCAGTCCTCACGACTGTGCTCGTCGGTGCGGGGAGGCGGGGTGGTCCCTGGCCTCCTGCCGGCAGCCCTGCTGGCAGCCAGCACACCGTAAAACATGGGCATTTAAGGCCCCCTCTCCATTTCATGTGTGCATTGATTGCATTCAGGGTGGGTGGGAATGGATTTATAATTAGACAACAGTCCTGGCAATCAATAGGGAGATTATTAGAACCATAAATAGAACTTTAAGACTCAGATGAGGTAATTTCCCTTGAACTAGGGCATCAATCATTAGGGGTGGCCCTGGAATGTTAGAATATTGTGTGTTAGGCTCCAGAATTAAATACTTCTGGAGGGACGTGCTGTGAATCCCCACCGCAGCCCCACAGTGGCCCTGGGTGCGACTGTTCCCAGGAAGACGTGGATCTGGCTGGCGGAGTGGGCAGGGGCTGCCGTCCTCTTTGTCCTATGCCCAGCAGGGCTGCTCCAGAGACTCTGGCCCTCCCGGAGGGGTGGTCTTTGGAGGGGGAGGTGGGGGCCCAGAGCATCCTGGGTGCTGTGGCCGCGAGCCTGCCCCGTGGCCCTACTGCAGGTCAGGTCGTGGGTGTGGCCACGCAGGGAGCCTGTGTCCGGGGGAGCACCCCTCGCCAGCCGTGGCTGTGATCAAGGCCACGGCCCACTTCCTGAGTCTGGGGGCCCAGTGCTCAGCCCCTTCCGGGTTCTCCCCCCTCCTGGGTGTGTGCTGATGCTTCCTGGCTGTGGGGCCCCCAGGTGGGATGGCCCGGCAGTTGCTTTCCAGACTGTCAGCGAGGCAGCGCTGCCGCCACGGAGGACGGAGGTGCCCGTGGGAGCGGGGCGTCCTGTTCCGTCGCCTGCTGTGGCTGCTCGAGAGTGCTGGGCGACAGCGGTGGGCCACCGCGAACCTGCCGCCCTGGTCGGCTCTGCTGGGACTTGGCTGTGAACCGCAGCGTGTCTCCCTCGTGCCGACAGAGTGCCTGTCAGACATTCACAGGACACCTGTGCTCATTGACGGCTCGAGGCCACAAGAGCCAGGCTTTGGCCTTCTGACCTCACAGCGGGCCAGAGGTTGTAGTGCCATCTGGGGTGGCCGAAGGTGGGCAGAGTGACAGGGTGAATGACCCAGGACCAGAGAGCCTGTGCAAACCCTGGGTCCTGTAGACATGGGCCAGGCCCTACCTGGGGTCCTGGGCCTCAGAGTCCAGACAGCAAGTCCCAGAGCAGAGGGTTCCTGGCCAGCTGTGGGGGAAGGGGCACTGAAGGGCCAACCTTGACCAGGAGGATGGAGGGCTTCCTGCAGGAGGTGCTGCATGCTGCTTGGATATACAGAGTGCGAGGTGAGGTCATTTTGGTGGTGGCCTGGGCGGAGCCAGCCTTTCCCTCTGCCCGTGGATGTTGGGTGGTACTGGACTGTCGTGTTGCTCCCACTGACCCCTGTGCCAGCCTGCTTGTCTCCCCCTTCCTGTGAGCCCTGGAAGGGTCCCTGGGGATGTGGATGGGACCATGGAGTGGAGGTTAAGGCAGCCCCTTTCCCTGGGAGGCTGCAGGGAAGTTGCTTCTGTGATGGGCAGACAAGGTCCCGCTGGAAGTGAGGTGCTCCCAGTTGGAGCCCTGGGTCAGGGTCAGGGGCTGGCCAAGCTTTGAGGGGCAGGAGGTCTGCCCCACAATGCCCTGGAGCCTGGCACATGCCCGCTGGGTGATGTCTCCTGCACCCTGATCAGGGTTGACACTGTCTGCAAGGTTCCACCCTGCTGCCCTGGGCCCTCACTTACCCTGCCTTTTGGGGTGAAATAGTCCCAGTGAGGTGTTTATCCTGAGCTGATGAACATGGTCCTTCATGTGCCAGAGCCTTAACCTGGGTTCAGGCCTGGAGGGCTCCTCAGAAGTGGGTCAGCTTGTATCTCCCAAGCTGTGCACTGTGGGACCTCAGGGCCCCACTGTGGTCATTCTCTGGGGACAGACGTGGTGCTGGCTGGCATGGGTGCCCCTGTCTGGCAGGTCCTGCCCTTGGCCCTGCTCTGGAGGCCCCCGTCTGGGCAGCCCCTCACGCTGTCCTCTCTCCGCGCTTTTCTTTCGTTGCTGCTCTGGCGCCTCCATCACGTTTTCTGTTTGGCCGCCCACCCGCCCGCTGCCCCTTCTTCTGTCCCCGTGTTGTGGTCTTCCCTCTCTCCGCCCTCCCCGCCCGCCCCCTCCGGCTTCTTTTGGCATGCCCGGGGTCTGCTTCTGGCAGGAATCGGCCGGAGCCGTGTCTCGGCAGCTCGGGACGGTGGAGCCGAGGCGCGTGCGGGACTCCCGAGACAGGTCAGTGCGGGTGCTGGCTGGCCGCCACCCATCTGCAGGCACCGGTGGGGCCCAAGGACCCGGCTGGAGGTGGAGATGCTGGCCCGAGGCACTGGCGTGGCTTGGGCTCTGTGGGAGGGGCTGCGTGGGGCTGTGACCCCACCTCGGTCCTCCGATGTCCAGGATGCCTTGTTGACAGTGTAGCAGGGCCTGGCCTGGGCCCCGTGGCAGAGCTGTTACAGGGGCTGGCTGGCCAGCGTGGTAGCCAGAGGCGCTGTGGGCGGTGCGGCCCTGCCCGGCCCCTGGGCCCTGGCCCCAGGCTGCTGGCTATGGCACGCAGTGGGCGCTCAGCCAGACCCAGCACCGCCCCGAGGGGCTCTGGCCTCGTGGTTGATACTGATGCAATGTAAGCATAGAACCAGTCCTTTCTTACCCTGCTCTGCTTGCCAGAGGAGTTTAGATCTTTCATAGGGAGCACATATGTTAAGGGATAAAAAAGGGATTCACACTTGAGGTGAGGGAAATTGCAGATCTTATGCATGTGAGGCCAGGGTGAGGGACATAGATGGGGGCCAGTCTGTCCAGGGGTCCTTGGCTGCCCTGCACCACTCACACCTTTGCACTGAGCTGCAGCCACCTGGAAAAGAAGCGGCTCCTGGTTCTTGTTGCCCAGGTCTAGGCCTGGACGTGACCCCCGTGTTTCTGCAGCCCCGTTTCCCTCAGGCGTAGAGCCTGTCGTGCAGCTGTGGGCTCAGCCTGTCTGGTGGGCATGTCCCCCCAGGCTGTGTGCCCCTGGAGGGCAGATTCACTGAGCATCTGCCATCTGCCAGGCAAGGTGCCAGACACAGGGAAGTGGAGGAGGCCAGGCAGGTGTGGCAGGTGCCCTCCAGGGGCCTACTGGTCTCTGGCATGTTCTAGGTGCTTGTGAAAGCTGGTGGGGTGCGGGAGCAGTGCTCACTAGTTGGGCATGTCCCTGTACCTCTGTGGGCAGAAGGGCTAGACAGACCAGGGGAAACTGTGGAGAGGGCTGGGGGGGCCAGGGAGGGGCAGCGGGGTGGGCACGGGGAGTAGTCTGGAGAAGGAGAGGGCTGACCCGGCTGGGTTCTGAGGATGCATATGAGTTCCTGCTACAGGCAGAGCTCAGGCAAGTGGCAGAGGGTGTGGCGTGCTGGCACCATGCCTGGTGAGGGCCTGGCTGCTCCAGGCTCTCCCTTCTTGGCTACTGACCCATTCTTGTAGCTCTGGGGGAGTGGCTGGTGCCCCAGGGCATCAGCAGGGTGCTTGGCCTGCATCCAGCCTAAGGTTTGGGGCTTTTTGTGAACTCCCTTTGCAGATATGGCTTTGCCGGTCATGGCCCAGGAGGGGTTAGGGAGCCGGTGCTGGCCACAGGCTGGGCTGCGATCCTTCACTGTGCTGAGAAGGGATGTACCCTGGTGGGCAGAATACTTCTCCTGGGACCTGTGGTGGCTTATTCTGCAGTGCCATACTGGCCTCTGGCTCTGTCACCTGGGAGACCCCAAGGATCCTGGGCCCTCCAGAGCGTGGCTTCTGCCTGGGCTCCTCACCCACAGGGTCAGCAGCCCTGTGTCCTCTTTGCATGAGGCCTGAGGCCTCTGCCAAGCTGGGCACAGAGGATGCCCTAGGCACTGGCTATTGCAGCATTAGGGCCAAGTGGAGCCAGGAGCCCCAGGGGTGAGGGTGTGGTGTCTGGGAAGCCTTAAAGGCTGGGGACAGGGATTGTTGGGGAAGGGGAGGGGGCTGTGGATGGCCGGGCTGAGGCCCCAGGGCCAGGTCTGGCCCAGGGGTCCAATCCTCATGTGTGAGCATAAATGTAATATATGGGGGCTGGGTCTCAAGTTGGCCGGCACCCTCCTGGAGAGCATTTAATTACATTTGTGCTTCATTACAAGGCTGTCTTCCTTTCTGGAATTTATTTTAGCTAATTAGTTGGAAATGCCAGAGTAGTATTTCAGAAGATGGAGCATCACACATTGTCATGCACAGGGCAATTAGTGCTCGTGACAAATATTTATTGTTAGAGGTAATTTCCCTTGAACTAGGGCATCAATCATTAGGGGTGGCCCTGGAATGTTAGAATATTGTGTGTTAGGCTCCAGAATTAAATACTTCTGGAGGGACGTGCTGTGAATCCCCACCGCAGCCCCACAGTGGCCCTGGGTGCGACTGTTCCCAGGAAGACGTGGATCTGGCTGGCGGAGTGGGCAGGGGCTGCCGTCCTCTTTGTCCTATGCCCAGCAGGGCTGCTCCAGAGACTCTGGCCCTCCCGGAGGGGTGGTCTTTGGAGGGGGAGGTGGGGGCCCAGAGCATCCTGGGTGCTGTGGCCGCGAGCCTGCCCCGTGGCCCTACTGCAGGTCAGGTCGTGGGTGTGGCCACGCAGGGAGCCTGTGTCCGGGGGAGCACCCCTCGCCAGCCGTGGCTGTGATCAAGGCCACGGCCCACTTCCTGAGTCTGGGGGCCCAGTGCTCAGCCCCTTCCGGGTTCTCCCCCCTCCTGGGTGTGTGCTGATGCTTCCTGGCTGTGGGGCCCCCAGGTGGGATGGCCCGGCAGTTGCTTTCCAGACTGTCAGCGAGGCAGCGCTGCCGCCACGGAGGACGGAGGTGCCCGTGGGAGCGGGGCGTCCTGTTCCGTCGCCTGCTGTGGCTGCTCGAGAGTGCTGGGCGACAGCGGTGGGCCACCGCGAACCTGCCGCCCTGGTCGGCTCTGCTGGGACTTGGCTGTGAACCGCAGCGTGTCTCCCTCGTGCCGACAGAGTGCCTGTCAGACATTCACAGGACACCTGTGCTCATTGACGGCTCGAGGCCACAAGAGCCAGGCTTTGGCCTTCTGACCTCACAGCGGGCCAGAGGTTGTAGTGCCATCTGGGGTGGCCGAAGGTGGGCAGAGTGACAGGGTGAATGACCCAGGACCAGAGAGCCTGTGCAAACCCTGGGTCCTGTAGACATGGGCCAGGCCCTACCTGGGGTCCTGGGCCTCAGAGTCCAGACAGCAAGTCCCAGAGCAGAGGGTTCCTGGCCAGCTGTGGGGGAAGGGGCACTGAAGGGCCAACCTTGACCAGGAGGATGGAGGGCTTCCTGCAGGAGGTGCTGCATGCTGCTTGGATATACAGAGTGCGAGGTGAGGTCATTTTGGTGGTGGCCTGGGCGGAGCCAGCCTTTCCCTCTGCCCGTGGATGTTGGGTGGTACTGGACTGTCGTGTTGCTCCCACTGACCCCTGTGCCAGCCTGCTTGTCTCCCCCTTCCTGTGAGCCCTGGAAGGGTCCCTGGGGATGTGGATGGGACCATGGAGTGGAGGTTAAGGCAGCCCCTTTCCCTGGGAGGCTGCAGGGAAGTTGCTTCTGTGATGGGCAGACAAGGTCCCGCTGGAAGTGAGGTGCTCCCAGTTGGAGCCCTGGGTCAGGGTCAGGGGCTGGCCAAGCTTTGAGGGGCAGGAGGTCTGCCCCACAATGCCCTGGAGCCTGGCACATGCCCGCTGGGTGATGTCTCCTGCACCCTGATCAGGGTTGACACTGTCTGCAAGGTTCCACCCTGCTGCCCTGGGCCCTCACTTACCCTGCCTTTTGGGGTGAAATAGTCCCAGTGAGGTGTTTATCCTGAGCTGATGAACATGGTCCTTCATGTGCCAGAGCCTTAACCTGGGTTCAGGCCTGGAGGGCTCCTCAGAAGTGGGTCAGCTTGTATCTCCCAAGCTGTGCACTGTGGGACCTCAGGGCCCCACTGTGGTCATTCTCTGGGGACAGACGTGGTGCTGGCTGGCATGGGTGCCCCTGTCTGGCAGGTCCTGCCCTTGGCCCTGCTCTGGAGGCCCCCGTCTGGGCAGCCCCTCACGCTGTCCTCTCTCCGCGCTTTTCTTTCGTTGCTGCTCTGGCGCCTCCATCACGTTTTCTGTTTGGCCGCCCACCCGCCCGCTGCCCCTTCTTCTGTCCCCGTGTTGTGGTCTTCCCTCTCTCCGCCCTCCCCGCCCGCCCCCTCCGGCTTCTTTTGGCATGCCCGGGGTCTGCTTCTGGCAGGAATCGGCCGGAGCCGTGTCTCGGCAGCTCGGGACGGTGGAGCCGAGGCGCGTGCGGGACTCCCGAGACAGGTCAGTGCGGGTGCTGGCTGGCCGCCACCCATCTGCAGGCACCGGTGGGGCCCAAGGACCCGGCTGGAGGTGGAGATGCTGGCCCGAGGCACTGGCGTGGCTTGGGCTCTGTGGGAGGGGCTGCGTGGGGCTGTGACCCCACCTCGGTCCTCCGATGTCCAGGATGCCTTGTTGACAGTGTAGCAGGGCCTGGCCTGGGCCCCGTGGCAGAGCTGTTACAGGGGCTGGCTGGCCAGCGTGGTAGCCAGAGGCGCTGTGGGCGGTGCGGCCCTGCCCGGCCCCTGGGCCCTGGCCCCAGGCTGCTGGCTATGGCACGCAGTGGGCGCTCAGCCAGACCCAGCACCGCCCCGAGGGGCTCTGGCCTCGTGGTTGATACTGATGCAATGTAAGCATAGAACCAGTCCTTTCTTACCCTGCTCTGCTTGCCAGAGGAGTTTAGATCTTTCATAGGGAGCACATATGTTAAGGGATAAAAAAGGGATTCACACTTGAGGTGAGGGAAATTGCAGATCTTATGCATGTGAGGCCAGGGTGAGGGACATAGATGGGGGCCAGTCTGTCCAGGGGTCCTTGGCTGCCCTGCACCACTCACACCTTTGCACTGAGCTGCAGCCACCTGGAAAAGAAGCGGCTCCTGGTTCTTGTTGCCCAGGTCTAGGCCTGGACGTGACCCCCGTGTTTCTGCAGCCCCGTTTCCCTCAGGCGTAGAGCCTGTCGTGCAGCTGTGGGCTCAGCCTGTCTGGTGGGCATGTCCCCCCAGGCTGTGTGCCCCTGGAGGGCAGATTCACTGAGCATCTGCCATCTGCCAGGCAAGGTGCCAGACACAGGGAAGTGGAGGAGGCCAGGCAGGTGTGGCAGGTGCCCTCCAGGGGCCTACTGGTCTCTGGCATGTTCTAGGTGCTTGTGAAAGCTGGTGGGGTGCGGGAGCAGTGCTCACTAGTTGGGCATGTCCCTGTACCTCTGTGGGCAGAAGGGCTAGACAGACCAGGGGAAACTGTGGAGAGGGCTGGGGGGGCCAGGGAGGGGCAGCGGGGTGGGCACGGGGAGTAGTCTGGAGAAGGAGAGGGCTGACCCGGCTGGGTTCTGAGGATGCATATGAGTTCCTGCTACAGGCAGAGCTCAGGCAAGTGGCAGAGGGTGTGGCGTGCTGGCACCATGCCTGGTGAGGGCCTGGCTGCTCCAGGCTCTCCCTTCTTGGCTACTGACCCATTCTTGTAGCTCTGGGGGAGTGGCTGGTGCCCCAGGGCATCAGCAGGGTGCTTGGCCTGCATCCAGCCTAAGGTTTGGGGCTTTTTGTGAACTCCCTTTGCAGATATGGCTTTGCCGGTCATGGCCCAGGAGGGGTTAGGGAGCCGGTGCTGGCCACAGGCTGGGCTGCGATCCTTCACTGTGCTGAGAAGGGATGTACCCTGGTGGGCAGAATACTTCTCCTGGGACCTGTGGTGGCTTATTCTGCAGTGCCATACTGGCCTCTGGCTCTGTCACCTGGGAGACCCCAAGGATCCTGGGCCCTCCAGAGCGTGGCTTCTGCCTGGGCTCCTCACCCACAGGGTCAGCAGCCCTGTGTCCTCTTTGCATGAGGCCTGAGGCCTCTGCCAAGCTGGGCACAGAGGATGCCCTAGGCACTGGCTATTGCAGCATTAGGGCCAAGTGGAGCCAGGAGCCCCAGGGGTGAGGGTGTGGTGTCTGGGAAGCCTTAAAGGCTGGGGACAGGGATTGTTGGGGAAGGGGAGGGGGCTGTGGATGGCCGGGCTGAGGCCCCAGGGCCAGGTCTGGCCCAGGGGTCCAATCCTCATGTGTGAGCATAAATGTAATATATGGGGGCTGGGTCTCAAGTTGGCCGGCACCCTCCTGGAGAGCATTTAATTACATTTGTGCTTCATTACAAGGCTGTCTTCCTTTCTGGAATTTATTTTAGCTAATTAGTTGGAAATGCCAGAGTAGTATTTCAGAAGATGGAGCATCACACATTGTCATGCACAGGGCAATTAGTGCTCGTGACAAATATTTATTGTTCCTGCCCAAATTATGCCTCTGGGTGCTCCCAGACCAGTGGCCTGGGGTTGAAGGGCATGGGGGTCCCTGTCCTGACCACTGTGGTCACTGCCTTTCTGGAACTTGATGGGGTAGGCCAGAGAGTCAGGCCCCTGGGTGGGCGTCTGTGGGTAGCGTCAGGGCGGTCACCGCGTACCTGGAGCTGGCGGGGACCCACAGGCGTGGGGCCTGAGGAGCGTGCCTGCTCCCAGCTCCCCCGTGTGTCTGCTGCTCACGGGCTCCCCCCTTTCCTCCAGGCTGAAGCTGCGGTGGCTGCAGTAGCAGTGGCAGACACGGTTCGCGATGGTGCCCCCGCTGTGGGCCCTGACAGTGCGTCCACGACCTGGGGCCGGGGTAGGGCCTGCACTGCTGCCCTGCTCACCCCAGCCCCGGGCACCCTGGCGGGGGGCTCCACGGGCCCATCAGCTGCAGCCTCCTTCTTCATCAGGTATGGACTCCCGGGCCTTCATGCAGGGCCTGGGCTGGCTTGGGGGCAGCTTGGGTGGGAGCGGTGGGGTGGCAGGGACCTGGGCTCCCGGCTCCAGTGGCCTTTGGGCCTTCTCCGGGAGAACCATGGCCTTACTACTGCTGTGTGGAGCGGAAGCAGGGTTTTCGGGGCCACCGCGGTGGGGCAGTTCCCAGCTGATAGGCTGGCCGGCCTCCCAGGGCACTACACTGATGGCAGGGTCCACTGGAGACCTCTTGTGCCAGGGCTGGGATGCAGCCAAGGACAGGGTTCAAAGCAGTTTCTGCCCCTTCTGAGCTGTGCAACCTTGGGCAAGTCACATAACCTCTTGCTGCCATAGCTTCCTCACCAGTCAGACAGCGCTATCCTGAGTTGCTGTGAGGGGCAGCAAACTCATGCCTGTGAAGCTCCCAGATGGGCTGGCCCAGCATGTGCAAGCTCAGCATGGTGTCCCAGGGCCTGCCCAGGGCCAGCGTGTGCTGGGGCCATGGACAGGAGGCTGCCACAGGCCTCAGGGCTCCTCCCCCCATGGTCAGGGAGCACCAGTGGGATGGTGTGATAGAGGAGGTCAGGGGAACCAGGGAGGGTGTCTGGCAGGCACCGCACCCAGGCCCCGCTGTCCCTCCCCGTGGCTGCCAACACCTTCTGCAGCCATGAGCCACCCGCCCAGTTGTTAGCTCTAGGTCAGTCAGGACGTGAGTGGGTTCCTGTCCCAGGCCCCAGCTTTGGCACATGGGGTGACGGGGCATGGGGTCTGCCTTCTGTGGGTCCCCAGGATGCCCAGCCATGGCCCTGTGGGCACCCAGAACTGGGAATGTCAGTTGGTGCCTACAAGGCCCGTCAGGCAGTGGTGCAGAGGTGGGGGCTGGTGATCACAGATGTAAGGGCGGTAATAAGTGGTGATGGCGGGCACAGCCCTGGGTCACTGTCCCATTAGCAGCCCTGTGGGTGCTGATAAGCTTGTCCATGAATCATGCATGGCGGGGAGCTGGGCCTGCTTCTCCTGACAGGAGTTTCAGACACGGGAAGGGACGGGCTGGGGAGCTGCTGGGGTGCTGGGTGGTGAGCACTGCCGCGTGGGCCTGCTGCCCCGTGAGGCTCGGCGAGCCCTGCTGGGACCCTCCAGCTGGCTGAGGAGCCCCTGTGTAGGGGTGGGAGGGGCAAACCTGGGCAGCTGGCATGTCCCAGCCCAGTTGGTCTCCACCCTGGGGCTTTTGGCAGTGGCCGCGCTCCATCAGGCCAGGCTCGTGGCAGGAGGTCCATCCTGAGACCTTCTGGGAAGGGAGACCAGCCCCAGTGGGCCCAGGTTCGACGGGCTTCTCTGGCTCATCAGTGACCCCGTGGCCCGGCAGAGCCGCCACCGGCTGCCTTTATCTCCTGCTGAGCAGAGCAGGGCTGCCTCTGACCTTGGGGAGTCACCATAGAAACGGTGCAGGCCGGGACTGCGGGAGGCAAGCTCTCTGAGACGGGGGCACCGCCAGCTGCCGTTACCTCCAGCCTGCTGGAGGCCCCGGCACCCCGCAGCTTGAGGGTGCCGGGCCAGGCTGGATCGTAGCTGTCCCAGCCAGAAACAGTCCTGAACCCCCACCTGACTTGGGCCAGAGACCCTCTGCTCTGGGCAGCTGTAGTGCCCTCAGCCATGGGCTAAGGGGGTGCTCTGTGGCTGTATCCCTGCTCCCTTGTGTGGTGGGTGGGGCCTGCAGGGAGAGGGAGGAGCCTTGTCCAGGGTCCCCGAGATGTGGAGCTGCCAGACCCAGCACTGTGGGGGCCTCAAGCATGTGCTCCCACTTACCACCCCTCCCTGGGGACCTAGGGAGGCAGAGCGTACCCCAGCCCACACTCTGCCCCTTGGAAATTTCCGGCTAGTGGGGAAGGGAGTTGTGGAGGCAGGCTTTGATGGCCCCGTGCAGTCTGTGAAGGCACAGAGAAGAGTGCTGTCCACGGTGCTGTGGGCCACGTGGGTGGGCTTTGAGGGTTGAATAGGAGTCTGATGGCCGAGTGAAGGCAGAATGGGGTAAGGCTGGGAACTGGGCTCTCCTTCAGCCCCTCAGTGCTCCCTGCAGGCCAGCATCAGCCTGGGGCCTACAGGGCTTCTTTCAACGACCTCTGAACTCACCTCCTTGTAGGGAAGCCAGGGTGGAGAGTGGGTCCGTGTCCACACCTGTGGGGCAGAGAGCACAGTGAGGCCTGGCGCCCTGCACCCCGCAGCCGGGCCGAGGTGGGTGGGGAGCTCCGCGTGCCAGCCCCTACCAGCGTGGGCCCGGGTCTCGGGGGCCCTGGTGACCTCGACCCCCTCTTCCTGAGCCCCCCCACCTGCCGCTGCACAGCGTCCCTGTCTCCTTCCTCCACAGTCCCCCCTACCCCCAGATGCCTCCGTTAGCACTCTCCATCCCACTCTTCTGGGCCTTTCTTGATGGGGGGTCACCACCCAGGCCCCTGAATCTAGATGCCTTGGGAAGAACTTCTGGGGTCTCCTAGGCAGGCACTGGGAGTGGTGTGGTTTCCTTGGGGGCCAGGACACCCCACTGAACTCAGATTCCCCACCCCCCACCCCATTGCTGCCTCAGTAGAGCCCCTTCCCCCAATGTCAACCCAGCCCACTGACTGTCAGGCTTGGCACCTAGCAGGGGTCCACAACCAGAGTGGGTGCTGCACAGAGGCATGTGGGTAGCTCTGTCTGGGCACCCAGAGCAGGAGGGCGCTGCAGAGGGACCTCTGTTACCTGCGAGATGGGACTGAGGCAGCCTCTGGGTGAAGGTCCCCCGTGACGTGGACGATGCCTGCCATGGCAAGACTTGGGGACCAGGGTTGCTGGGACCACAGTCTCTGGCCTTGGGGTTAAGGCCCCCTTAGGAGCCCCATACCCCTGGGCCACCGATGGGTAGGTCCTGGGGGCTCTCAGGCCTGCAGGGGCAGCTCCCCAGCAGTGGATGCAGGCTGGGGGCATGGGGTGTGGTGAGGTCTACCTGACTTTTCATGGCCCAGCTGGGGAGCCCTGGGTTGGCCATTACTGACCCCCGCACACATCAGTGTATCTCTTCAGGGTAGCCAAGGGCCTTGCCCTCGAGGCCAGCTGCCTGTGGAATCACCGGCTTGTGTGGAAGAGGCGATTTTTCTTTGTAAAATAGCAAACCATTTCCCTTTCTTTTATGTGGGTTGATGACCAGGGCCAGTGAGCCCAGGAAAGTTCTCTGGGACTGTAGCCGGGGGGCTGGGGCTCAGAGGGGTGTGGCGGAGCCCACTTGCCCACTGGCCCACTCGCTGCTGTGTCCTGAGCTTCCCCTGTGTTCCGGACTTTAGGCTTGGCCAACCCCTGCCCCCCAAAGCCCTGCCCTGCTGGGGCTCAGCCATGCAGAGCCGTGTCTCAGGGCAGGGAGTGATTTCTGCAGTAGCAGGGGGCGGATGTCTGGGGAAGCGCAACTTGGGGGCATCAGGGCAGGCTTCCTGGAGGAGGTGTTCTGCGGCTGAGGGCAGTTGAATGAAGTTCCTGCTTTTCTAAGTCTTCCCTTTAGAGCCAGATGGCTCAGACTTGCCCACTCTCCCCATGCGTGTCTCACCCTCCAGGGTCCTCACCCCAGCAGTGAGCATTCGTGGCCCTGAGCATGGCACCCCGGGGTTCTCTTAGCCTCTGAGGCCTGATGTCAGCCCCCCCCGCCCCCACTGCACAGAAACCAGGTCTGTGCCCCTAAGAGGCTGGGCCCCTGAGGGCAGGCCCTGACTCCAGAGGCCACCCTGCTGGCTGTGTCGCCTGAGGTGCAGTAGCCAAGCGGCTGGTGGGTCTGTCCCAGGCACACAGGGGCCCGGACCGCGTCGGAGCACAGAGGGCCTGTCCTGGGCCTTGTCGGCACCATGCCATGCCTCTGAGTCACGTCTGCTGAGTGGGCCTCTGAGACCAGGGCCCCGGAGCCCTGGGTGAGTCGGGTGCAGCTTCATGGCTCCCAGCTGCTTGCGGGCTGACTGCGGGGGCCGGGGAGGGAGGAGGGGTTGCCCCGAGTAAGGTCAGACTGGGGCAAAGACACCTGGCCAGAAACATTCCAGACCCCCCGGGGCTGGTGGGGCCTCTGAGGGTGCCGGACCCAGCCTCTGTCCAGTGGTAAGAGACAGGTCCCTATGCTGTGCTGCTGGGAACCTGCGGTGACCTGGGTGGAGCGACAGTCTGTGCTGCAAATCCCAGGCCCTGAGCCAGCCGCCGAGGGTGTAGAGATGCCTGGCTTCCCCCAGCACCTCACCCGTTGGTGGTGGGGACCCTTGAGGCATGGGGGGGTGGGTTCACGATGCCGCCTCCCCCAGTCTTGGGGTCTCTGATTGAGCCTGCCCGGCCTGGGTGGCAGGGACCCGGCTGCTATACCTTGGCCACGGCTGGCTGCTGGCAGTCGCTCAGCCTGAGGGCCTAGCTGACCCTGCCTGTGCAGGCTGGTGCTGGGGCCCCAGGAGCTGCCCTTTCCTGAAGTCCTGGGACAGATACCACTGCACCTGTGTCCAGATGGGGGCATGAGTCCACAAGGCCTCTGTGACCCTTATAGGTGCCCTGCCCTCCCTTCCCCAGCCCGCCCTGCACCCAGGTGTGCAGAGTGGGCTCCCACCCACACCTGCAGACCCTCACCCCCCCTGCTCATCCCACCCTGGGGCAGTGCTGGGCCGGCAGGGTGGGTTGCCTGCCACCTCACCCCCTGGGGGTGGTTGGCAGGAAGCTCCGTGGTCACCCAAGTGGTGGGGGACAGGACAGGAGTGGTGGGCAGGAGAAGCCCCATGAGCTGAGGCTCTAATGAAATGGCTCTGGACGCTCCTGCGCCCCCCACCCCTGCTCAGGCCCCCTGGTCCCCACCCCGCGTGGCCGTGGCTGCCTCCCTGCAAAGGGTCTTGCTACAGCTTGGGCTGTGCGCTGCCCTGGCCTTCCGAGTCCCTTGTGCCCAATCTCTCGCCCTGTTCTCAGGTGGTGCTGCCAGCCTCCATCCGGCCACTGACTTGCCATGATCCTTGGGCGGATGGGAACCAGGGGCTTCTCCAGGAGGTTTTGAGGTCTGCAAATACTTGGGCTCAGGCAAGAATCAGGGCAACATCCCTTGTGGCCAGAGAACTCGAGTCCCCTGGCTGTGGGTGCGCCACACCTCGAGTTATCTGTGCTCCCGGGCAACTCGTGGGCTCTGCTCTTGGACCCCCACTCCCTGGTCCCCCCTGTCCAGGTGCATACTGTCACCACTGGCCGCTGCTCTATTAAAGATCCGCCGTGAATCGTAGATTACTTTTATTTTCTGCGATGACACCTCACTAGGAGGAGAGCCCTCCCTGGGGTCTCTTAAAAGACAACTCCTATTAAAGATGACAGGAGTTAAGCAAAATGCCGGTGGTAGGTGCCCAATGGAAGGAGGACTGAGGGGCTGGGCTGTGCCTGTGGGCTCAGGCTCTTATGCTGGGGTCCTTTGAGGAAATCTGAAAGACTGTGGGGGGCTCAAAGGGCTTCCATAGACAGGGTGTGGTACCCTCAGAAGTAGCAGAGATGGGGCCAATGGGATGGGGCCCCTGGGTGCATGGAGCGCAGGCATCCTGGCCTCTGGCCCCCTCCACCGGGGCTCCTGCTATGTGAAGGGGGTGCCAGGCCGGGTCATCTGGGCCCTGGGGTGGAGTGTGAACGTGGACTCCGGCCCAGCGTGTGCTCCTTATCTGTGTCAGCCGGCGTCACCTGTGCTGAGGCATTGGGAGGGCGCTGGTGGCCCAGGCCCACAGTCTGGTCTCGGTGCTCTGGGGGTACTGCCGGGCTGACACCGACTCTGAGCAGGGAGACCAGCTGAAGGGCTGTGGGGCTGGTGGGGCTTGGGGGCCCCCTGGCAGGGGGTCAGGGTGAGCCCAGCGGTGTGTGTGTGCCGGGCCTGTCCTGAGCATGTGTGTCCCCAGGGACCTGGGACAGCGATCCCTAAACCTGACGGACCCCCTGTAGGCACTGGAGGGGGAGCCCAGGCGGCCCGGGCAGACAGCGGGTCTGCTTCCCGGGGATGCCGCTGGGCTGGCCAGGCCGCCCCTGTGGGCCTGAGTCCCATGCTGAGGAGGGCGCTGCAGCAGGCAGCAATGTCGCTGGGGTCTGCTGGAAGTGCCCTGAGAGGCCATGGGGAGCCCAGGCCAAGGAGGCAGGGGTGGCACTTCCAGGAGGTTTCCGGGGGCCTTGGTGAGGTGTCCAAGTGTGTGGGGAAGGGTGGGGGTCTGGGGATGCGCTGGTCAGAGCAACCGTGTTCATGCTTCTATATGCCGGCACTGGGCCAGGTCCTTTAAACACATTAGCTCATCAGGACCACACACAAGGGCCCCTGGTGGTCACTCCGTCTCACGTTAGAGGTGGGGAAACTGGGCCTCAGAGAGACCAATCATGCCTGGGTCGCACAGCCTATGAGTGGCTGGGCTGGTGGAAAGAGCGTACAGGGAGGGGCCCTCTGCCACCTGGCCTGGCTGAGGGGCAGAGATCGCTGGGGCCAGAAGGGGCAGCCCCAGCCCCACGGCCCCGCTTGGCTTGGGGGGAATGAAGCATGGGCTGTGGACCACCCTGGGGCAGCTGACGGATGGCTCACCCCACACTTTCCCTAGGGCCGCCCAGAAGCTCAGCCTGGCCTCCAAGCGCAAGAAGCCCCACCCACCACCAAGCCCTGCCACCCGCGGCGCCCCCACCTACCCCTCGGACTTCAGCGGGGTCCTGCAGCTGTGGCCGCCCCCCGTCCCCCCCTGCTTGCTCAGGGCTGCCGTCAAGGCCAAGGGCAAGGACAGCCCTGGCAGTGCTGGAAAGGTAGGCCCAGCTCTGGTCTGGGTGTGACCCTGGAGGCGGGTGTGGGATGAAGCTAGGCGGTCTGAGCGGGTGCGGGAGGTGAGGGGCCTGCTTCTCCCAGGTTGGACAGGGGTGGTCAGCAGGGGTACAGATGGTTCCGGGGCTTGGCAGGGAGCCTGCGGGATTGTGGTGGGCCGCAGCAATAGGTGGGGGTCCCAGGGGCATGTGCCAGTATCTGTGTGGGGTGGGATTAGGGTTTGGGGCCTGACCCAGAAGCCCCCATGCCTACCTCTGTTGGCATTCTATGCACAGGCGGGGCTCGGGGGCAGGCATTGGACCTGGAGTTGAGGCGAATCCCAGCTGCAGCACGCCATGGGCGAAGGGAGTGTGCGACCAGTTGATTTAGGCTGCCCTCCCAGTTCAGATGGGGACACTGAGGCCCAGAGTGGGGAAGGGCCTTGACTGGTCCTGGGACAGGCTGGCTGCCTCCTGGCTGTACCCCTGGCTCTGGTGGCCTTTGGATGAGACCAGGTTTCTTCCCTGGCCCTCTCTGATTGCTTGTACCACACCATGAACCTGGAGAAGGGCCTGCTGTGTGGGTTCCGGGCGAGCATTCAGGTTTTGAGCCCATCTGTGAGGTGGGCTCTGTCCCTGTGGAGGGTGGGGAGACCACGGCGCTAAGAGGTTAGGTCTTGCAGCCAGGGCCGCTCGCTGTAGGGGTAGGGATCGCACCCTGACCCGGAGTTTGCACCCAAGCCTTTTCCTCCGACCTTGCACCCACTCTGCTGCCCGCTGGCCCCTCCCAGATGCCTCCCTGAGAGTGGTGGGGGTTGGGGCAGCGCACCCAGGCCCTGGGCCCAGCCTCTCCAGTGCCCAGAGGCTCACCCGTGCAGAGGTGGTGGGGCGTTTACATCTACCTGTCTGCCTTTTCCACCTGGCCGCCTCCAGGACACGCTCCGGGGCTGCTGGTGACAGGGTCTGCAGAGGGGCATGCTGCCCGGCAGACGGTGCCCTGTCTGGGTCTGGGCCCTCCGCAGGCCCCTCCCCGCACCCCAACCAAGCCCTCCCGCTCTAGTGCCTGTGCTAGGCCTCTTCCGGTCAGGGTGAGTGCCTGCCTGACCCTGGGGACTCCACCAGGCTGCTCGGGCCCAGGAGGCCTTTCCCCAGCCCCGGGCTCCCACACCCTGAGACTAAGTCCCTTGGCGCCTGCTGGTGTTGGGGGGTTCAGCCCACCTGGGCCAGTGGGCAGGCATGCAAACTGCTGGGAGTTGGGGTGGCTTTCCATGCCCTGGGCCCAGCTCTGACCTTGGCCTGATCACCAGGCTGTCTGTACATCTGTGCTTCTCCATCTGCAAACCGGGGTGGCACACGGGCTGGGTTGGATAGGGTCTCGGGTGGGTGGAAGGGGGTTGTGGAGCACTCGAACCCGTTTTCTTCCTGCCAACTGTGTTTTTTGGGGTGCAGCAGGCCCCCTCCACTCCTCCTGGGGCCTGGCCCCCCACCCAAGTGTTTCTGGCAGGGGCTCCTCCTTTCTCCTATGACAGACGACCCCATCCATCCTGGACCCCTGGGGCAAAGAGGCTCGGCCACCCACCACCCGCCCCCGTGCTGCCTCCCTGGCTCTCTGGATGGTTTTTGTAGGAACGTCACATAGAAATGTCTCCTGAAAGGCATTTAATATTGTCACAGAAAAGAAGTTAGATTATGCTCAATTCCTGACATTAATGTGCTACTTAAGATAATTCATCATCTTGCAGCATTAAAAAAGACATCCTTCTTGGTGGGTGCCGAGCAGTGCCCCTCCCCCGGCCCTCCTGGGCCACCAACTAGGAGCAGAAACCTTTTGTATGCAGAATGTGGTTTTTCCCTACCTACCAGCTCTTCAGCAGGGTTTGGACTCTCAGAGACAGTGGCCTGGCTTTGACCAGGACGGTGGTGTGGGGCAGGCCAACGGCCGGGGACCACCCCCCCCAACTTGGGTTGTGGGTCCTGAGCCCGATGAATACCGTGCTGGCCGAGAGGACAGCACACTTCCTTCCTGGGGTGCTGTCCCCTGCCGGGAGGCCCCTCCAATCTCAGAGCCCATTTGGCTCCTGAAGTGGCCTGGAGTTCATGGTGAAAGAAATTGCCAAAAACTACCGGGAAGAGCACATTTTCATCTGTTTGGCAGCAGCGTTTGGAATTGAAATTGCTTCGTTCATGTCGTTGGGGATATAAGAATCGATTCCCGCCTAGTGGAGCCCAGGTTTGGGGGGCAGGGGGACAGTAGGTGGCCATTTCTTTGTGCTTCTCCCTGGAGAGCAGTGGCCCCTTCCTTGGGAATTATTTTGCATGTCAATTTGCCACATGCCGAAGGGGAGTGGATGGCGCCTAGTGCAAAGTACCCACGATAAACCAATTTTGCCGGCGTTATGTATCTGTCACTTACAATTAAATCCATGAAAAATATTGGCCCTGAAATGAGTCTGGTAATTTGATTTACACTGTGGTGGAGAAACTGGAGATTTCACCCGTGAGAAGCCAGTCTGGTGCCCTCTCCCAGGATGGGCCCTCACTTGGGGCGGCTCACCGGGTCAGAAGGCGCCCTCACAGCTGTACACAAGATGCTCTGTCTGAGGTGCTTGTTTTCCATGCAGGTTTTGGGGTGTCTTTAGTGCAGTTTGCTGTGGCCCTTGGTTCCTGCCTACTCAGAGCACCCCAAAACCTGTGTGGAGAGAAGAGCCTTCTGTTCCCTGGAGGGTGCTGGGCCTGTGGTCTGGCTGGGCCTGCTGTCTTTGGGCGCGTGCCGGCGGGGTCACATGGGCAGAGGCTGCCTGGCCACCTGCAGGGGCCCCGAGCCTGCTCTGCCCTGCCCCTCCCCCCACCTCTGCCCCCATCCAGGCCCCACCTGCCTTCTGGGATTCCAGTCTCATCTTTCCAGGGGCAGGATTGTCCCGTCCTCCCCAGTGTGTCCGAGAGAATTTCCCCTGGTGCCCTGCTGATGCGGAATCCTGCCAGGACGCAGGGCTTTGAGTTTGGACTTGGAGGTGGCTCTCAGGTCACTTGCCTTCTGCAGCTCGCCTCCCCAGGGCGCCACTGGCTCCCTGGCCCGGCCCCTTCCGTGCGTGTGTTCCTCACTGGCTTCCACGTGGGCTCCTGCCGGCTCCCCTCCGGGCTGCGGGCGGGCAGGCAGGCAGGCAGGCGGGGGTCGGTGGCAGATGTGCTCGGGGCCCTGGAGGACTCTGTCCCGGGGTTGGGGTCTGGGAGAAGGGGCTCCCTGGAGGAGATGGGCTGGACTGCGATGAGGGACAGCGGCTTCCCTCTGTCTCAGCTGGGAGTGGCCTGCGTGGACCGGCGGCCCCGCCTATCCCAGCCCCGGTCCAGAGCCAGCTCTCCTGGGAGCTGCACTTGGCAGCTTAGTGAGCCAGGCTGGTGGAGCTCGGGAGCTGGGGGGTGCAGGGAGGGCTGGGCTCTGAGGCAGCCCCTTTCCTCCACATGGGGATGGGGAGAGCAGGCAGCGTGAGGCTCGGGGAAGAGGCCCCGCGGGTGGGGGTGGGCTGCGGATCTCCCACTCTTGTGTGGGCGGGGTCTTCCAGCCCCTTCTGCCTGCCCCTCTCTCCCGCTTTCTCCCTGCACCCTCAGATCTGGGATGTGGGATTTCAGGAGGCCCGCTCTCCGTGGGCTTGAGGGGGCTGCCAATGTGATGGCTGCCCAACCCTGGGAAGCTGACAGCTGTGGGCGAGCTTGAGGGTGGGGCTGTGTCTGCTGTCAGAGGCTCTCTGCCTTCGGGCTCGCTCCCCATAGTGCCTGGCTCTGCACGGGAGTCAGTGACAGGGTGTGGCGGAGCCCCAAGTCAAGGGCAGGGGGGGTGCACCCTGAGTGTGGTCTCCGTGCCACCTGTAGCCTGCCAAGCCCGCTTCTCCATTCCTGAGCTCCCAGCCACCCCCTGCCCCCTCTGTCCTGCCCGCCCCACCCCCACCCTGCCCTGCCCTGTGCTCCCCGTTCTGTGCTGACTTGCTCTGCCCCTGGCCGGCCTCTCTTCTCGCTGGGCCTTGCCTGCTCCCTGCCTGGCTGACCTCATAGGATCCGCTCTGGGCCCGGAGCCGGGGTGCGGGCGTCCGCATTCCTGCCGTGGGGCTCCCGTGCCGAGGCCTGGCTCGCTGTCCCAACTCGCGCGAGGCTCCTCCTGCCCTGTAATTAGCGGCCGCTCAGATGCCCGCTCCCACCCGCCTCCCCAGGTGAAGGTCATGCTGCGGATCTGGCCAGTGCAGGGGGCCCAGCACTCGGCCGAGTCCACAGCCTTCCTGAAGGTGGACCCTCGGAAGAAGCAGGTGACCCTCTACGACCCGGCTGCTGGGCCCCCCGGCAGCTCAGGTCCCCAACGGGCCACCACTGCCGCGGCTCCCAAGATGTTTGCCTTTGACGCTGTCTTCCCCCAGGACTCGGAACAGGTGAGGGTGGCGGCGTCCACTGGGAACTGCGGGCCAGGACTGCCAGTCCCCACGCTGGGGTCAGAGCTGCGCTTGCTGCTGGTGCTGGGCAAGGAGGGAGCCAGGGGCGAGGCCCAGGCACGGGAGGGTCGGGCTTGGGGGCCGGGCAGGCCCATCCGGTTTCCTCTGCCTCACGGGCCTCCCGGCCTTCGGGCTCCCTGCTTGGCTCTCGGCCTGGTTTTCAGGCTGAGGTTTCCTGGGAAGCACCCGGTCTCGGGAGCTACCCTCCATGGGAGTTTCTGGGCAGTGGTTTATTTTGCCCTGGTGGTGTGTGAACACCTGGGTGCTCTGCTGGGTGTCGGGCACACACTGTGACCAAGCGTGTGCTCGTAGTGGCAGTGACTGTGTGTGTGTGTGTGCATGCCCACCTGTCAGCCCCGTGTCTGTCTGGCTCGGGCTATGCGTGTGCATTGGTGTTCTGTGTGCTGGGTGCATGTGATGACCTCTGTCTTTGGTCCCATGTGTGCCAGCCTGGCCTCCTTGCCTGCCTCAGTGTGATGGGGACAGACAGGCGTGGGAGGCCGATGGTGGCCCCTTGACCTCGGCACCTGCCTGCCTCTCTGTGCCCTCCTCCAGGCCGAGGTCTGCTCGGGGACAGTGGCCGATGTGCTCCAGGCAGTGGTCAGTGGGGCCGATGGCTGCGTTTTTTCCTTCGGCCACACGAGCCTTGGTGAGCGCTGTCCGTCGCTCTGCGGTGGCCGGGCCCAGTGTCCGGGTGGGGAAGGGGAAAACCTCATATGGGCGGTGGGGGCTGTGCAGAAGCTGAAACCCTGAAGGCCTGGGGGGCAGGGGTCTAGGGGCGGGTCAGAGAAGGCCCCTGGGGTCGCTGTGGCCCCAGGTTGGCTCTGAGGGCCTCGGGCAGGGCCCTGACATGTCACGTGGCCCCCAGGCAAATCGTATACCATGGTGGGGGAGGACCGCTCGCCCCAGAGTCTGGGCGTCATGCCCTGTGCCATTTCCTGGCTTTTCCGGCTTGTCGGTGAGCGCAAGGAGAGGACGGGCACCCGCTTCTCTGTCCGGGTCTCAGCCGTGGAGGTGTGCGGCCAGGACGGGAGCCTTAGGGACCTGCTGGCCGAGGTGGCCTCTGGTGGCCTGCAGGATGCCCAGTCTCCAGGCGTGTACCTGCGGGAGGACCCTGTATGTGGGGCTCAGGTACATGAAAACCACTGCCACCATGCAGGGGCGGGGCCTGGGGTCTTGGGAGGGCTGCAGGGGCTGCCTTGGGTAGGCAGAGGGGGCTGCGGCTCAGCCCACTGAGGCACCGTGCCCCTCACCCGTCCCAGCTCCAGAACCAGAGCGAGCTGCGGGTGCCCACGGCCGAGAAGGCGGCCTTCTACCTGGACGCAGCCCTGGCTGCCCGCAGCACCAGCCGGGCGGGCAGCAGCCAGGATGCCCAGCACAGCTCACACGTGTTCTTCACACTGCATGTCTACCAGTACCGCATGGAGAAGTGTGGCAAGGGCGGAAGTAGGTGTCACCCGTGACCCTGGGCCCAGTTGCTCATGTCACCTTGGGGTCAGTCCTTCCCCCAGCCGGACTGTGCCCTGGGGGCATCGCCTGGGGACTCCCGCCTTGGGCTGGGGTTGCAGGGCCTTGGGTGGGGGCCATGCCACCACTCCCTGCTCTCTGGTTTCAGTGTCTGGAGGCCGTAGCCGTCTGCACCTCATTGACCTGGGCAGCTGTGAGGGGGCACCTGGCAGGGGTGGGGAGGCCCCTGGGGGCCCCCTGTGTCTGTCCCTGTCGGCCTTGGGCAGCGTCATCCTGGCTCTGCTCAGCGGGGCCAAGCATGTGCCCCATAGGTGAGTTGGGGGCTCCCTGGTGGGCACTGGTAGGGTGGCCCCGGGAAACCAGCCGGGAGCCTGTCAGGCACGTGCCCTGTGTCTCTGGCCTACGAGTTCCTTGGGTTTGTCTCATCACCTGATGGGCCCTGCCATCCAAGGGCTGCCAGGGGTGCTGGTGCCCATGGGGGTGAGCACAGAGGTGGATGCCAGACCCAACCCCAGGGCGCCAGGTGTGGACCTGGTCTGGCAAGAGGCCTGCCTCCCTCCCTCCAGACCCCCACCCTGACACCCCCTCCCCTGGCCCTCAGCCTCTGAGCACCCCCTTGGCCCCCAGGGACCACAAGCTCACCATGCTGCTGCGGGAGGCCCTGGCCACCACCAACTGTCGTGCCACCATGATCGCTCACGTCTCGGATGCGCCCGTCCACCACGCCGAGACTCTCAGCACTGTGCAGCTGGCCGCCCGCGTTCACCGCCTGCGCAGGAAGGTCAAGGTTGGCTGCATCTCCTGTCCACGCCCCCTCCCCGCTCCTGCCCAGGGTCTTGTGTCCTTCTTGGGCCCCTGCCTGACATACTGGGGGCCACCCAGACCTGTCTGGACTGAGGTCATGCAGCTGTGGCCCAGCCAAAGGAGGCAGAGAGCTGAGTCCTAGGTTGCCTGGATGTAGAACTGGAGCTGCCTGCAAGGGGGCTTGTGGTTGGCCACCTCTGTCCGCCTGGCCCAGGGGTGGGCAGTGGTCAGGGCAGCCTGGCAGGATCCCTGTGGCCTGAGCCCCTCCTGGGCCTGGGCATGCGCTCTCGCCTCCTGTGATCCAGCGTAATTCTCTCTCCTTGAGAAGATTGGGTTCTGTTTGGTGCCTAAGGTTTAGTGTTATTCCAGCACGCAGTGGGAGGGCGGCTGTGTGGCCAGAGGGCGCCGGAGTTGCTGGGGGTGGGGGTGGCGGGGGGCGGGCAGGCTGCTGCTCACAGGGGCCGCTCTGTCCCAGTACATGTCCAGCTCCTCGGGCGGGGACAGCTCCTGCGAGGAAGGCCACGCCCGTCGCCCCCAGCACCTGCGGCCCTTCCACCCCCGCTCCGTGGCCCCGGACCCCGACCGCCTGTTCCCTGGCTCGCCTGGCGACCTTGACTACTCGTCCAGCAGTGAGCAGTCCTGCGACACTGTCATCTATGTGGGGCCTGGTGGGGCGGCGCTGTCAGACCGCGAGCTGACCGACAACGAGGGCCCGCCGGACTTCGTGCCCATCATCCCCGCGCTGAGCCGCCGCCGGCCCTCCGAGGGCCCCCGAGATGCAGACCACTTCCGCTGCAGCACCTTTGCAGAGCTGCAGGAGCGGCTGGAGTGCATTGATGGCAGCGAGGGCCCCTTGGGAGCCCCGGGTGGCCCGGCCCGAGGGGGCAGGAAGCCTTCCCTGCCTGACGCCGTGGCCCTCAGAAAGGCTGTGGGCTCCCCGCTGGCTGCCAGCACACCTCGTGGCAGCCCCAGCCCAGACACCCACCAGGGTGCCTTGGAGCCCTCTAGGGCTGGAGGTGATCAGAGGGATGGCGTCAGCACCAGGCCTGAGCCGCCTGTTCTGGACAAGGCCGTGGGGGGTGGAGGCCGGAGGCCGCTGCCTGGCCCGGCCCCTCCGCCGCAGCAGCCAGAGGCCAGCAGAGCCCCAGAGGAGCCCGGTGTCCGGGGTGCCGATGGCGTGGTGCGGACTCCCCCCGTGGGCACGAGTGGGCGGGCAGGCTGCCCCCAGCCATCTGAATGGGGCTGCCACCTGGAGCGAGGCCTGCTGACTGCCACGGTGACTTTGCAGCAGCCCGTGGGGCTCAACGGCGAGGATGAGCTGGTGTTCACCGTGGTGGAGGAGCTGGCCCTGGGCGGACTCTCAGGCCCCGGGCGCCCTGCCAGCCTGGCCAGTTTCGGCAGTGACTGCTCCCTGCAGGCCCTGGCCTCGGGCTCCAGGCCGGTCAGCATCATCAGCAGCCTCAACGACGAGTTGGATGCATACGTCCTGCAGGCCCCCTGCGGGCCCCTGGGCGGGGCCACCCACGCGGGCAGCAGTCATAGCTCCTCCCTCAGCTCTTGGCTCAGCTCGGTTGGCGTGTGCACGGCCGACAGCCGTAACCCCACGCCGCAGCCCCCCTCTCGGGCCAGCCCGGACCCTTTTGGTCCCGACTCGGTGGCAGGGCCTGACCCCCTGGGCCGCCCAACCCCGGACAGCTCCCTAGAGGGTGGCGGCTTTCTGTTCTCAGAAAAGGGCCGGCCAGACAGTCCTGGCCCAGCCTGGAGTCCTCGTTCTCAGGAGGTGGCCGCCGCAGCCCCCGGCAGAGCTGGCAGGGAGCCCCAGGCGGTGCCTCCCCGGGCGGCAGCCTCAGCACAGACTCTCCACTCCAGCCTTCCCCGGAGACCGAGGACTACCTCTGCGGCCGGTCACGTGGGCTGCCCTCGCCGGGACCCAAGCCCACCTGGCCCTGGAGACCCGTTCGAGGACCCCTGGCTGCCGCGGGCAGATGAACGTGTCCCGCTGCAGATGGCCTCTGCCGGCAGGGCCTCCAGCCCGGCCCTGGTGCTGGCTTGTGCCCGCAGGGTGGTGGATGGCTGTGAGGTGGCAGGCAGGGTGGCCCACAGGCCGGAGGTTGCGGCTCAGATCCCACCCCTGCGGAGGGGGGCCACCACGCTGGGTGTGACTACGCCCACGGCATCCTGTGGGGACGCCCTGGCCGATGCAGCGGCCTGCGTGGGTAGCCTGAAAGTGGCCCCTGGCAGCAAGAAGAGCACGGCTGCCAAGGGGGGCCTCTTCCTGCGGCCTGGTGGGGTGGCCCCCCCAGCCCCGCCCGTGCGCAAGTCCAGCCTGGAGCATAAGAACAGCCCCACCCTGGGCCCTCTCCAGGCGGGGTGCCTCCCACGAGGGGAGGAGGAGGCCAGGCCTAGTGGCCGGGCTGACCCCTCCGTCCCCCGGGCCACGTCCAGCCTGAAGGCCCGGGCTGGCAAGGCAGAGGCGGCGTGCCGTCCCACTGCCCATGGGTCCCTCGAGAGGCGTGAGGGCCTGGCACACAGCAGCGGCAAGGCCAAGGAAGCCCCAGGCAGGCCACTCCGGGCTGTGCCCAGGCTGGGGGTGCCACCCGCCAGCCTCATGCCTGGGCCGGCTGCTGTCTGTAGGGGCGGCCCGGCCAGGGGTGTGGGGGCCCTTAAGCCCCCAGCCAGCGGGGCCAAGGCCCGCAGCTTGGCGGCTGGCGGGTCGAGGGCCCTGGGCTCCCCAGTGAAGCTGCTGGCCCCTGTGGCCGGCAGGAGCCCTGGCGGTCCTGTGACAGGTCCCAGGGGAGCCCCACGGGTGGCCCCCGGTATGGGGGCCAAGGCCAGTCGAGGCACTGTCATGGGCACCAAGCAGGCGCTCCGGGCCACCCACAGCCGTGTCGGTGAGCTGGTGGCCGGCGGGGCGCCTGGCAGAGGTGGCCCTGCGTGGGGCTCGGCCGACTCGGACAGTGGTAACGACAGTGGTGTGAATGTGGGTGAGGAGCGGCTGCCTGCAGGCCCGGCACTGCCCTCGCCCTATAGCAAGGTGACAGCCCCCCGGCGGCCCCAGCGCTACAGCAGCGGCCAAGGCAGTGACAACAGCAGTGTGCTGAGCGGGGAGCTCCCACCCGCCATGGGCCGCACGGCCCTGTTCTACCACAGTGGAAGCAGCGGCTACGAGAGCATGATGCGCGACAGCGAGGCCACCGGCAGTGCGTCCTCCGCCCCCGACTCCATGAGCGACAGTGGGGCTGCCTCCCCAGGTGCCCGCGCCCGCAGCCTCAGGTCCCCCAAGAAGAGGGCCACAGGTGGGTGTGGGCAGCTCTCCTGGGCACATCCCTCCACAGTTTATAATCTGGAGATGCATGACCACCAGGCACAATGTTCACTGATTCAGGTGCACATGGCCCTTGGCAGTTTTACAAATGTGCCTCTGGTGTTCAGGGTGTACATGTGCACAGCCCTGTACAGTTTATGAGCAGTCCCTGTGTGCCCCCTTCTGAGATCCACACTGCCCCCGAGGCTGGTCCCCATCCTGGTCAGAGTGGGCAGGCAAGGGCGGGCCTGCCAGAGTCATCCTGAGGAGTGTGGGGAGCTGGGAGGAGAGGACCAGGCTCGGGGCTCCGAGGCCGGTGCCCTCCCGTGCCAGGGCCTGCTGCCTGGGAGCCACCTCCTGCTTCCAGGACTGCTCCCGCCTCGATCCCAGGGCCGGGTGGGACAGGCCTGCCCCTCACACTGCGTGGCTTTGGAGGGGGTGTGGCTTCCAGCTGATATTTGGGACGGGTAGGTGCCCCTCTGGGAGACAGGCTGGGGTGGGAAAGCAGGAAGGGGCACCTTGGGGGTATGGGTGGAGTGCCAGTGCTGGCCATGAGCTGGCTCGGGTCTGTCCCAGGCCAAGGGAGCAGGGGAGGTTGTGAGTCAGGACGTGACGTTGCTGCCTCCAAGGGGTGGGGGTGGGGGGGCTACTGCTGTGTAGGCAGCTGGTGTGGCCGTCAGGTGGGAGGAGGTGGGCTGGTGGAGTGAGCCCGCTGTCCCCCGGGGCCTGGGGTGGGGTGGCAGGCAGTGCCCTCTCCCTGCCAGGACGCCGGCTGGGGGCTGGGACCCGGGGCTGGGCTCCTAGTCTCTGCTCCCTAGCGCCCGGCCCCGTTCCAGGTCTGCCGCGGAGACGACTGGTCCCGGCCCCACTGCCTGACGCCACCGCCCTGGGCCGCAAGCCCAGCCTGCCTGGGCAGTGGGTGGACCTGCCCCCGCCCCTGGCCGGCTCGCTGCAGGAGCCCTTCGAGATCAAGGTGTACGAGATAGACGACGTGGAGCGTCTGCAGCGGCACCGCCCACCCCCGAGGGCAGACCCGGCTGAGGTCAGGGGGGGCGGGGCCCTGGGTGGGGGGCGGGCCCTGGGTGCGGCTGGGCGGCTTCCTGACCCCACCTTCCACTCTTGTCCACAGCCCTCCCAGGACGTAGAGAAGGTAGGAACCGTTCTTGCCCAGCCCTGAGCCTGATGCCCACCTTGGCAGAGTGGGTGTCTGGAGGGGTTCTGAGGTCACTGCTGTTGTCCCCTGGAGTTGAACCAGGTGGGGGTTCCCACAGCTGTGTCCACTCATCCGGGGCCCAGGATCCAGACAGGCACTGGCAGGCTGCTTGGGAGAGGCTGGTGTGAGCCCCACAGTGGGGGCCCCGGTCCTACCCCTGCCCACCTCTGAGGCCCCACTCTGCACCCATCCAGGCCTGGAGGGTGGAGGGAGGCTCATGGCCAAGGTGGGGGCCTGGGCAGTAGGTTGTCCCCATGCCTGAGCCCACCCCCTGCCCGTCCCCTGCCGCCCAGGGCTTGGTGTGCGTCAGTGCAAAGCTGCGGCTGGCAGAGCGCAGGCAGCAGCGGCTGCAAGAGGTGCGGACCAAGCACCGGCGCCTCTGTGAGGAGCTGGCTGAGACCCAGGGCCGGCTGATGGTGGAGCCTGGCCGCTGGCTGGAGCAGTGTGAGTCCCCCCGACCCCCGGCTGGGGTAGTGAGACCTGCCAGGGAGGTGCAGGCTTGCAGGACCCCAGCTCCCATGCCCTGCCCCGCCCCCTTGCCCACCTTGTGCCTCCCAAGCTATTTCCTTCCCTCTTGGAGCCCTAGCTGCTCCCCTTGACATGTGGCAAGGACCCTTCCCTTCACCTTGGCCCAGAGGGACCTGGAAGCCCAAAGGGGAGAGAAGCATCTCCTCGGCCCTGCAGGGACCCGGGCCTGACCTGCCTGCCGTCCCTCCACAGTTGAGGTGGACCCAGAGCTGGAGCCCGAGTCGGCGGAGTACCTGGAGGCCCTGGAGCATGCCACGGTGGCCCTGGAGCAGTGTGTGAACCTGTGCAAGGCTCACGTCATGATGGTCACCTGCTTCGACATCAGCGTCACCGTGCCCACTGCCGCCCTGGGGCTGCAGGAGGTGGACGTCTGAGGCTGGGCATCAGGACCGGGGGAGGGGACATGCAGGGGCGAGAGGACGGGACGTGGGGTGGAGCGAGGATGTGGTGTGGGTAGGAGGAAGGCGGATGCAGAGGGTCCAGTGCAGGATCGGGGTCTCGGAGGCAATGGAGTTAGAGGGAGGGGAAGGCCCGCCAAGCGGCGGACAGGGAGGGAGCGCGCGGGGACGGGAGGCAGCCACCGTCCAGACAAGTGCCTTTACCCTGGAATTGGACTTCCGTCCTTTTTGTGTTTGGTGCTAAGAACTCACGATACCAGCAGACGGTGTGCGGCCGCAGCCGGGTGGTGGCTGTGGTCGTCCAGATTCTGGGCTGGAGCCAGTGGCACTGTTCATGTCACCTCCACAGCCAAGCAGTTCCATGCAGCAGGGCAGCCCCGGGCTCCCCAGGCCACTAGTTGAGGATCAGGGTTATTTTCCTTTACAGCTCTTTCCTCTCAGCAGAGCCGGCCTAAGGGTCTCCAGACCCTTCCCTCTGCAGGTGATGACAGTGGGGTCTCCTGGGCGGGGTACCCCAGCCTCCGTTCCCCAGGGCCTGCTTTGTCCTGAGGGTACAGAGAGGGCAGTGACCAAGGGGAGGGCTGGAGGCACACGGCCGGAATTCTTACCAAAACCACAAGCAAAAACCAGAAAAACCAACACATACAAAAAATGGGTGATAAGGGTTTTGTAAAGGTTCTGTTAGGTTCATATTTTTGTATCATTTTGCTTATAAATGCGGTATTTGCAGTGGGAATTTCAAGACAAATGATCTATGTTTTTATGGTTTTCTATGAAAGGTATCCCTCAGGCCAGACTCTTTCTGGGGACACCCTGGGCAGGACAGGGGTCCTGGGGAGGCACTTCTTGCCAGATGCAGACCAGGGGATGAGCCTGCCTATGGGTGGCATTCCCGGCAGGGTAGGCTCTGTTTTCTGACCATTGTGCATTTTCTTGGGGCAGCCAAACCTTTGTACAAATCTGTAGATAACATCTTGCTGCAGCTTTTGTGAATAAAAGATGCATTGATTGTTCTCATGGCTTCTGAGTTCACTAGGCACACTGCCCTCCAAGGGCCCTAGCACGTCCAGGGGCTTTGGGCAGCAGGGACTCGTCCTCCGCCCACAAACCCCGCAGCGGCCCCAGCCTTCAGGCGAGAGGGGACCCACGTGGCAGGAGGTGCCCCTTCCTCTCTGATCTCCTTCCCAGCCACTCTGTCTCACAGCACCCAGCTTCTGGGCCCCAAGGCTGAGGCAGGGAGCCAGGGGCTGGAGCTGGCCGACAGGAAATAGCATTTTCTAATGGGTGCCTGGCCCCCCTTCCAGGTGTCGTGTCAGCTGGGAAATCGAGGCAGGAGCAATATGCCTGTTGGGACGCCTTTCGTCTCCTTCCTTTGCCCCCCAAACCTACTTTTCCAGAAGATGTGCGAGCAGACACACCATGGGCACATCAAGCCCCCGGGCTGGCAGAGCCACTTTTCCCTACCCAGCCCCTTTCTGATGGCCTCAGGCGGCTCCACCAGATGCTCAGACTGTGGTCCTGGCCCTGGGCACCCCCAGGTGGCCAGTGTGTGGGCTGCTCCCTGATGGCCCTGCTGCCCGGGGCACGGTCATGCCTGGTGTGGTCTCTGCCTGCCTCCTGGCCTCAGTGGAGCCCCTGGGCAGGGCGGAGTCCGAGTCAGCTGTGCACCCCAACACTGGGCACAGGGTGGGCCTCGGGTGATTGCAGAAGGAAGGACGCAGGAAGGGAGGTCACCCCCTCAGCGCGCTGGGGGTACAAGCAGGGTTTGCACAGTACCCCAGCCATTCTGATCTGTCTAAAACAGGCCTCAGGGCCGTCCAGACCAGGCCCCCACCCCCGGCTGCCTCTTCACCCTCTACTGCTGATGGCATCTGGGACCCCCAGCTCCTGGGATGAGGTCACCTGTCAGCTGGGAGGCGTGGGTGCTAGGCCCCTCCTGGCCTTTCCCTGTCTATTCTGAGGCTGGGCTTATTCCCAGCAGGAACTCTGCCAGATGCCACAAAGCCTGCTTCGCTGTTACTGAATATGGGGGCTCTCGGGCATCAAGGTGGAAGTGGTCAGACGCCAGGTATGATGGAGGGATGTCTCCTTGCAGGGCCTGATACTGAGGGGAGCTAGCCCACCGCTTCTGTGATCCAGTCCAGCTGGCTGCCACCCAGGCTCTGACCTTGGCATGCAGAGGCACTGCCCTGGCCCAGGGACCCCTCCATCCTGACAGACCAGGTGGTGCTGGAGTCTGGGTGGGGTCAGAGCCCCGGCCCGCTGCAGTCCCAGCGTGCCCCGTGCTGTCTCACTTGGGCTGCTTTGGGCATTATGGGCAGGCCCTCTTCCCTCCCCTGCCCCTTGATGCCTGGAGGGGCCCAGAAGTAATTGATCCTTGCTGACCGCCACCCCCACCCCAGCGCCTGTCCAGGTCGGGGGGCCTCTGTGGAGCAGGTCCAGGTGGGGCTGGCTGACCTTTGGGGCCATGGAGCCTGCTTCCCACAACCTAGGGGAGGTGCAGGAGGGTGGTGCCTGCTTTTCTGCACAGAACCCCCTGTCCTGGGCCAGCCTGGGAGTCTGGGGCGGCCTTTCATCTGGGACATCAAAGCCCTCAGCCCTGTCATTACAGGCTGGGAACCAGCTGGGAGCAGCTGGCAGGATGAATATGCCCATTTTATGGATGGGAAAGCCGCAGTTGCCTGGGACCCAGCTCTTCGACCAAAGCTGAGGCAGCTTCAGTGTGATGCCGCCTGCAAGGGGTCTGTGGGCCTCCTGCTCCTTGAACATTTGGGGGAACTGGACCCAAAGCGGACAGGGCTGCTCGAGCCCCCACTCCGGTGTCGCTCCTAGGGGCAGATTTGAACTCACAGGTGGGGAGGCGGAGTCCTTGGGGCAGGGCCAGGACCTGCCGAGCCTGGGGCCGGGAGGGATGCCCCTAACCCTCGAACTGGTGGGAGGGGTGGGGGCGCCTGCCTGAGCCACACGGACGAGGGCAGGAGCCAGCTTAGGCGGTGTCTCTCGCAGCCCTGCAGGCTGGCCTGCTGCTCCGCCGGGTGAGATGCCTGCCTGACTCACTCTGCGAGCCTAGGCCTGTTCTGCCCGCCCTGCCCACCCCAGCCCTGGGCATCTGGAGGCCGCATGGGGAGGTGGGGCCAGCTAGGGGTCAGGCTCGGCTGGGTAATGTGGACAGGGGGCTTACGGGGCCCACCTGGTGGCTGGGAGCAGGCTGGAGCCGAGGTGGCGGCGGGCGTGCAGGGCAGGAGCTGAGGCCGCGGCCTGCGGGGTGCCCAGCTGGTATGCATCCCCCGGAGGTGCTTGTCCCTGGATTCAGAGCCTGATCCCTCCTTCCTGGGCCCTCTCTGGGCCAGTGGGCATGGTGACCTCTGCCAGGGCTTCAGGGTCCCTGGGGACCAGGCCTGCACTTGGAGAATGAGCATTCGGCTCTCTGAGCCTCCTCTTGTGGGCACCACCACGCAGGCAGCAAGAGGGACCTGTGGCAATGGCCTTGGGGCGGGTGACACCGCGGTGCTGTCGGTCGTCTCAGGGGCAGGGGCGATACTGGGGAGGGTGGTCACGGACGGCCGAGGCCTTCCGGAGCCCAGTGGCAGTGGGCTTCCTTCTTGCTTTCTGTGCCTGTGGGGCCCACCCCTCCCTCCCCTCCCCCTCCCTCCCGTCACGCGTCTCCCCTCCCCCTCCCTCCCCTCCCCTCCTCATCTACCACCTTGTGAAACACCCCTGGACAGAGACAAATACCGAATCCACAGTACCCACCACCCAGCTGCCTCGGACCTTAGTCTTTGGCTCCACTGTTTTTCTTTCAAAATCATCTTTTTGAAGCCAAGTTTATCTCAGATTTCCTGGAAAGCTCTACAGCGGCCGCCTCTGTCTGTATGCCCCGCTCGCCGCCCCCTCACCGCCACCCGCCCAGGCCAGGAGCAGCCCCGACTCCCCTTGTCAGCCGAGGTGCATTCAGTACCCAGATGCCCCCTCCTGACCTTTTCTTGGCCCGGGATCCCGCCCTGGCTTGGCATACGGACATGGCGTAATTACTCGGAATCATCCGGCCCAGGAGACCCGTCCCTTCTCTCCCATTTATCAGGCAAACCGTCACATTTCTATCAGTACGGGCTTGCGGATATCCATTCTAAATGGTGGGTTGTGATCCAATACTACTTGATTTTGTTACTAAAACTGTCCCAGCTGTGGCTGCTGGGAGCCCTTAATTGGTCTGGGACATTTTTAAAGTGCACGGAGGGCCCTGTGCCCCCCCAGAGTGGCCCAGCCCAGCATGGGTGTCCTGCCACCCTCCCTGCGCCGGCCCCGGCCCCAGCCTGGCCTGGGCCTTGTGCTGAACGTGCCAGCTGCCGCGCCCTGCCCTTCCAGGCCCCCACCTGTGGCCACACACCCTGTACCTGGGGGCCGGGGCAGCAGTGCTGGGAAGCTCCGAGCCTCTAGCATGACAGTTGTGAGGGCTGAGGCCTTGGGGTCTGCACCGCAGAGCATCCGGGTGGAGGGGCACGTCGAGGCCCTTGTGTGGGGCTCCCTGACTCTGCCTGGAAGGCAGCCCGAGGCTTGTGAACAAGGATGCCTCCACTCTGAGCAGCCCAGGAGACCTGGAGACTGAAGTGGCGGTGGGGCCCTTGGGGTCCTTCCATGCCACAGCAGGGTGCCAGGCCCTAGGCTGCTGTGGGGCAGGGGTGTGTGCAGGAGGTGGCCTGCTGGCTGGCAGCACACAACGGTGCCAGTCTAATTGCCCATGGGACCTGGCCCGGCCCGGCCCTGGGGCTGGGGAAGGGGCAGTGGCGTCCCTGAGAACCCACAGGGTGAGGTCACCCCACCCCTCCTCCACACTGCCATCACCCGGGGAATGGAAGGTCAGGTGGGATGTGCCACCACCCCCGGGGCAGCCAGGCCTCCCACCCCCAGCCCCCCAGTCACCTCCTCTGGGGACAGCCATGCACCCCAGCCCCCCAGGAGAGGCGCCTGCTCCCCACTCTTGACTCTTGCTTTTCTCAGCCACTTGGGAAAACACAGTCCAGGTTAATCAAATGGCTTTACTCACCCTCTGAAGACCCGTGTGCCTGGAGACTCCCAGGTTGGGCCTGTTGGTGGCCTGAGCACCCCTGAAGGGTGCCCTCTCAGCTGGGGACAGGGACCAGCCAGGGGGTGAGGGGAGATGGGCTGGAGCCCTGGGTGTGGGGCCTGGGTGGTCTGCTGCACGGTGGGGCCATGGCAGGTCCCCCTCCCTGTGCTTTGATCTCCCCTCCTACCGAGGAGGTGCTGCCTGGCCGTGTGGGAGTCGCCCAGGCACCGGGCACAGTTCGCCGTGGTCTGGAATAAATCTCTCCTGTTGCCCCAGCACTGGGATGTTGGGCTGTATGTCTTTCAGCCTCGGCGGCCATCTGAGGGACTGATCCACCCGGCAGCGGGTGAGGCTCTAAACCCAGCACTTGGGGCTGATTTATGGGCCTGCCTGTGCCAGCGCAGGGCTGGGTGTCATCTTTATAAGGCCTGAGGAGCCTCAGCTGAGAACTGGGACAGGCTGCGGTGATGCAGAGCCTGCCCACCCACCATCACACCTGTGTGTCCCGAGCCAGGCCCGGACCAGCGGTGATCTGCACTCTGGGAGCCCTGAAATTCAGCATCAACAAGGAATTCTTGTGAACACAGTCATCAGTGGGAACTCGCTGAACCCTGTGTGTCTGGCCCTCAGCTGGGCTGAGCCCAGGAGGACAGATGAGGGGACCCAGGTCCTGCAGCAGGGAACACCTGCGGGTGCTGGCCTGCAGGGTGCACGAGCCACAGGCGTCCTGCACGGTGCTGAAAAGAGCCTGTGGAGCGTCGATGTGAAACTGTGACCCTCTGCCAGCCCCAGGCTTGGGGAGCATGGCATCGTCCCAGCTCGCTGCACGGCCGCCTGTGGGCCCACCATGCTGGTGCCTTGGAGAGGAGAGCACCTTCTCATCTCCCAGCACACAGAAGGTGGCCGGGCGTGGGAGCGGCCAGAGGACGGGCTGGGGTGAGGGCGTCG